GAATCTGCCGGGCCCGCCGCGGCCGGACTGCTGCAAACTGCCGGCGGCCCGAGCCCACAGCTGGGAGTGCCTGCGCTCCCCTCCGCCCCGGGGGCGCGGAGGGAGCCGACAGGACTTCACGGAGCCCCTCTCTGTTACTAGCTGCTTTTAACCACCTACGATGAGGATCCGTCTGGCGAGAAGATGGACGTGGGTCCGTAAAAGCTGCATGTTCCTCGGCTTCTTGACGATCGCTTACTTTGTGGTCGAGCTGTCGGTTTCTTCCTTCGGTGCCTCCCTCGCCGGAGAGAGCATCACTAAAGGGAAATGGGAGAGGCGCTTTTCTGACAGAGCAGAAGAAGCTGTAGATTTGGCTCGTCCAGTTTATGACAAACCCCCGCCTGATCCTCATGCCCCAGGAGAATGGGGTAAACCCTCTCGCCCGCAGCTGAGTCCTGAGGAAAAGAAACAGGAAGAAGAGCTGATCGAGAAGTATGCAATTAATATTTATTTGAGTGATAAAATCTCTCTCCACCGGCACATTGAAGATAATCGACTGAGTGGTTGTAAGACTAAATCTTATGACTACAGAAGACTGCCCACTACGTCTGTTATAATTGCTTTTTACAATGAAGCCTGGTCAACACTGCTGCGGACGATACATAGTGTTCTTGAAACATCACCTTCAGTGCTTCTGAAAGAAATTATACTGGTGGATGACCTGAGCGATAAAACTTATTTGAAGGCTGAACTTGAAAAATACATAAGCAGTCTGAAAAGAGTTCGCTTGATAAGAACCAACAAACGAGAAGGATTAGTTCGTGCACGTTTAATTGGCGCTACCTTTGCTACTGGTGATGTCCTCACATTCCTCGATTGTCACTGTGAATGTGTCTCTGGCTGGCTGGAACCATTGCTCGAGAGGATTGCTGAGAATGAGACTGTTATTGTTTGTCCTGTCATTGACACCATTGACTGGAAAACATTTGAATACTACATGCAAACAGCAGAGCCCATGATTGGGGGCTTTGACTGGCGTCTGACATTCCAGTGGCACTCGGTGCCTAAACATGAACGTCTCAGGCGCAAATATGAAACCGACCCAATCAGATCCCCAACTATGGCTGGTGGCTTGTTTGCTGTCAGCAAGAAATATTTTGAGTACCTGGGTACCTATGATACAGGAATGGATGTTTGGGGAGGGGAGAACTTAGAATTATCATTTAGGGTTTGGCAGTGTGGAGGCGTGTTGGAAATTCATCCATGCTCCCATGTGGGTCATGTGTTTCCAAAGCGTGCACCCTATGCTAGACCAAATTTCCTTCAGAACACGGCACGTGCTGCTGAGGTGTGGATGGATGAGTTCAAAGATCACTTTTACAACAGAAATCCATCAGCAAGAAAAGAAAACTATGGAGATATTTCTGAGAGAAAGATACTTAGAGAGCGTTTGAAATGCAAGAGTTTTAACTGGTATTTAAAAAATGTATTTGCTGAGTTGCATGTACCAGAAGATCGTCCTGGCTGGCATGGTGCTATCCGCAGCACAGGAATATCTTCAGAGTGCCTTGACTATGTCTTACAAGAACATAATCCTACTGGGTCTCACCTTTCTCTCTTTGGCTGTCATGGTCAGGGAGGCAACCAGTTTTTTGAATATACATCAAATCAGGAGATTAGATTTAACTCTGTAACTGAGCTATGTGCTGAAGTTCCTGAACATGAAGACTTCATTGGTATGAGGAGCTGCCCAAAAGATGGTTCTCCTGTGCCACAAATTATTATCTGGCATTTCAAAGAAGATGGGACTATTTATCATCCTCATTCAGGGAAGTGCCTTACTGCTTATCGTACAACTGGGGGACGTGCAGATGTGCAGATGAGAACTTGTAATGCTGCAGATAAAAACCAGATGTGGAAATTTGAGAAATAATCACTGCTGGTAGTATGAATTGAATGGACTCTCCAAGGTTTTTGGAGTAATCTCCAAAGTTTTTACGTGCATGAACAGATAGCAACATTTGATTGAATACTTTGGAATGTTTTCAGATGTGTCTGTAGTGGTGTAGAAACTATCTCTTGTGATCAATTGTATAGAAAGCAAAAGTAAATCCTGGAGTTTGGTTTCTAAAACATGAAATACAGATCTAATGCCTTTTATTTTTGTAAAATTTTGATTCACTATTTTCTTACTTTGGCCTGTCTTGCCTATGGTAAAACAAAGGCTTTTGAGTGGACTAAGACAGGGTTTTTTTGGCTTAATAAAAAAAAAATTATGCAATAATCCTGCAAGATCACGTTACATTAAAGTAACGAATCTTTACTTACAGAAGTAAAAGTTAGGGTTCTTGCAGTGGTATTAGCTGACCTGTGTTGCAGATACGTTATAACATGTGTCTAACACCATAAGTAAGGCATGTGATTGAATGGACATTGATGTGGAAAACTGAATCTAAGCCTTGTAATATTCTGCATTTTTCTAGGAATGTACATGCTGTTAAGGGTAACAACTAGCTTGTTACATAGAAGAACAGGAAGTTTATTTAGTAGATGGGCTTTGGCACTGCTTTGCGATGTCGTACCTGTTGTAAAAATCTTACCTCGTGGGTGTTAGTCAAGAGCCCTCATGCATTTAGAGAAGAGTGTGGTGGCAGAGGAACCAAGGACATGCTAATGGTACCACAAATGGGAAAAAATAGGGATGGCAACAACTAAGAATTCTGTTTAAAGGTAGTGGAGAAGGAAAGAAAGCACAGAATTGCATTAGGTACTATGTTTTCTTAGCTGTATATTTAATATTTACATTGCCTCTGTGTAAGCTTTTCCATGTTCAGCCTCACATCCTAGGAACACAAAACTTGTGTTCTAGACCATGTATCCCTTTTTTTTTTTTTCATTTGTTCTGTCAGTGGAGGAGAGGAAGGTAACAGAGGAAAACTTGGGCTGTTTTGTGTTATGGCAACAGCTGGCATGGATCAGTCCTAGACAGAGTTTTGAAATAATGCAGCATAAGCTGCCTCTTTCTAGTTACAGCAGTAGCACAGGAGACCTTGGATGAGGTTAAGAAGCTGGCATTGCTGACATGAGGGGAGTTGTAAAGGCAAAAAAAAGACAGCTTGGAGGAAAACAAGATTTGTGGGGAAGCTGTTTAAGCCACGGAATGGCTTATTCAGAATGTTTTGTCTATCCTGTTATGCTGAGTTCTGAAGAATATTGATTCTTGAATCATGTCATTAATCTGTTTTGAGCGTGATTATAGATGGTAGATGTGATAGATATATTGTGTGTTTGAAGAAAAATCTTGTGTTAGTATCTGTTTTTTAGATTTATGTGATTTATATGATTTAAGTTGAACACTTTTCTTAATATTTTGGGCATTCCAACTTTTTTGATTGCTTTCACTGAAGTGATAAATATTCTTCAGTAGCCACAGTGTAGTAATTCTTGACATGGGGCTGGTAGGTAGGAACTCAAGTTAGTGAGAAAGTGGGTGTGCATTTGCTGCAGGTGTTAGTAGGTAGAAAGGTTAAAAAGGGGTGAGACCTGATGTAGTTGAAGTTTTGCCAAGAATAAAGGAAGAGTAAATTAAGATGTATTTTTAAATCTTAGTGGTTTGAAAGCATTGAGAGGTTTGGGTGGAAGCAGGCGGAACGGAAGAAGAAAATGTGGAGCTTGGGATGTAGAATTGAATCATGCTAAAAATGCTTGCCACTGTGTGGCATGGGTTAAGTCCTTAACTTATTTTTAGGCAGTTACTTGCAGTTTAATATCTTTTTCTTTTTTTTCACTAAACTTTTTTTTCTGTTTTTATTTTTTTTTTTTAAAGGAACTTTTTGCTACATAAGGGAAACGTTCCTGAAAAATTCCATTCCACTCTGCAGTAAGGAATTCTTTTCTGAACCTGCAAGTTATGAATCATTTATCAAATTTTAAAAGGCAGCCAGTCATTATGTACTGGAGCAGTTAATTAAATAAAGTATGTGCTTTTCTGAAAAGCTTGCTGTAGATTGTTATATTCAATAGAAATGACAGGAAGAAGGCCGAGGTTCTCCTGTATGGCAGGTCACGAGTTGTATATGCAATGCATGTTTCCTCAGATGAAAGCAATTAAATGGTGTGAATGTAGACTATGCAAGTTTTATACAGTTAACTTTTTTAGCACTTGGTAAAAACTGCATTTCCTATAAACAACTACCTTCATGTTAAAACTGACATTCAAAGTGTTCCTTATCTATTTAAGCAATAATTTTAAGTGAATCTGCCTCTTAGTTTGAAAGTTATTCTCTCTGTATGTATCTAAACCCTCCTTCCTCCCCATGACCTCCCATTCTATTTTTGGAGTTATTTATAAACTAATTGGGAAAAAAAAGTGGAAGCCCTGAAAAAAGAATCTTCCTGATGGGAGTAAGAAATATGGGAATAAAAGGAGGAGGGACTAGAGAAGGAGAGAAAAAAAAATAAGAGAAAGAAAACCTACCTTGCCATTTCAAGTTCAACTAGTTTTGAATTGAGTTGCGGCAACTCTACAGAAATACTCCAGTTATATTTCAGTATGTATAGATTTCTGGAAAATCTGAAACTCTGAATGGTTTTCTATTCTTTTAGACTTTGAAAATTTGGGAAACGCTTGTACATATTTTAAACTACTGATTCTAAGTGACTTAAAAAAATTGAATGTAAACTTAACACTGAATAAATGTGGAGGGCTTTGGGGTTTCTATTAAAAAATAAAATCCAGAATGACAATTAAATGTTTACTAGTGTGCTGACTCTTCAGTTCTCTTTCTCTTGTGTAATGTATACAGTGTGTGATAAAAACTGTCATGAACTTGAACTTATGTGAGTTATTAGAAGTTCCTTGTGTTTTATCCACTGTGCTTAGAATTCCAGATTGGCTTTCTTGACTGAAGTTCAATTAATAATTGTTTTTTGCCAAGTAGGAAATCTTGCAATTCACAAACATGTTTGTATTGTGATGTTACACCTTATGACACTGAGAGTTGCAAAGTTTCTGTAAAGTGTGTGGGGTTGTTGGTAGTGGTGATATTTGAATGTTCACACACCCATCATGTGCACAGCCCTGTATTCCATCTGCCCTGTAACTCTTGCACTGAGCAATTAATTATATTAGAGATGCTTACTTTGAGAGAGGTACATCTAGGTGTTAAAACCTGCTGAGTTTGTCTCTTCTGATCTTTGCACAATTTTCTTTGTCACCACTGTGGTACTGTGTGAGTGAAATGGTAATTCTGTATTACAGTAACTTGTGTCTTCATATATATGTGGGTATATATGAAAATGTATACCATAGTATACAGTCACAATTTATAAATTGAACTTTGTTTCATTGCAAATACCACAAAATTTTTTTTGTGGCATACCTGAAGCTCAGATATCTGTTTAGAGATCTGCACCAAAGTGGTGTGTAAACTTGGCCTTTGCCTAAGGCCAAATCTTTATTCTTAGGTGTTCAATTCTGTTATGGCTCATCAGCAGAAAATCAAATTACCTGGTGACTTATCAGCTATACTTGCATGTGTACAGAAGCACTGATGTTTAAAAAAAAAAAAGACACTCGGGCTAGAAACTGGACTAAGTTGCATATTGGATTCAGCTCAGTGTGAATTTTCAGCTTTCTACTTTTTAGTTGTATTTTGCAATTGATCAAATATTTTCATAGCAAGGACGTCTCTAAACATGGTTCTGGTTGTGTCATGTGTTCTCTGAGGAGCAATAGACCTATTTGTGCTATGGCACATCCTAAAAAATTCTTATGGACCTTCTGTATTTCTTTTGTTTCAGATCCAGTACTTTAAATTAGCCTTGGAGATCTGTTCTGGACTATTTAGTGGTGATTTGGTGACTGAAAGTCACCAAAATAAAGGGTGCTGATATACTGAGTAAATGCTGTCAGAATGCATCATCTGTGCAGCCTTAAAGTACTGTGCTTGAGTAAATTGGAGAAGCAGCATTCTTATAAAGTAGGCAAAAGCCCTTAGAATGGAATAAAAAGAAATAGTGACATTTACTTGATCAAAGTACATTTTCATGGATAAAACTGGTTTTAAAATTAGTATTGCTGGCAGCATACTATGTACTCTTGTATTTTCTGCTTGTGGTTAGTTAAGGTGAAACGTCTACCATTACAGTGAAATGCTTGGGTGTTAGCCATATGCACCAAAGTCTTTTTCAACCCACTTGAACAGGGAATAGTTTGGCTTGGCTGAGCCTCATTAATATTAAGGGACTGATTTCTCTGGCAGGATAGGGGCCAAAGTTCAATATAGATGTAGAGTTTTGACTTAGAGTTTCTTTGTCTCTCCCATGGTGTTCAAATATAGAGTGACATCAGCCCGTGTGCCTTAGGAAAATATTTCTGTAACGGGTCTGTCAGTTACTCACCCTTTTCTGTGCAAATCCTGAACCTTCTTCCCTCCATCACCTCTGGGGTGGTGTTGGCTGGGCTGGAACTGCTTATTAGAGATAGTAATAGTCTTTGTGTGTCATGGTAATGGGCAGGTGGTTTCAAAAGAGACATATACATAAGGATGGAGAGAGGATGCTGTGAAAGCATAGGCAGCATAGTCCAGAGGGAAAACAAGGAAGATGATGGTGGATGTACCCCAGAAAGAACTTCAGGTCACTGCTTGTGTCTCATTAACCTTGGGGATAACCCATCTGTGAGCAAGCAAGCTACAAGAAACCAGGCTTTGAATGTATTGTACTGTCATCTTTCAAAGAATATTCAGTTTTTAGAACTGAAAGCAGAAACAGCTGGTATTGCACAGCCTTCATGCAGTTCATAAGGTACCACAGGTATTTGGTAGTTCCTTAATTATTTGTTTGAGAAACCATCAGTCTTGTCTGTTTCACATTTCCAACTTGATACCTTTGAATTCTATTTTAGCTTACATTTCACTTTTTCCTTTCATATTTATGCCACTCTAGATTCCATTTTTCTGAATCAAAGTGAAAAAGAAATTCTTTCAATTAGAAAGAACCTGCTATAAAATAGAGTTCTGAAAAATTGAAGCAGGGGGAAAATATCCTGTATATATTTGTCAAATATAGGTCTATTGATATGGGCATAGAGATAGCCTGGTCTCATGTCTTTTAGCAGAGGCTAGTCTTTGGGCAATAAAAATAATATTTCTGTATCAAATTCATAAAGATAATTTAATATCTAATATTTTATATTTTAGCATTTTGTTTGAGGATTGCCTTGACACTCATGATAAGAAACTCAATTCCTTTGTGCTGTGTTGGTGCTTGAAAGAGGCTAGGAAGAGAAGAGCCATTCTCCTCATGTCCTCTTCAACTTCTAGGAGGTCTCTGTTCTTCCTCTCCCTCCTTTTCTCTACTAGGGGTAGGAATTTATAGATGAGGGATGGTGTGTGAATACCTTGTTTATTTATGTCCTACGTACTGGCAGCAGAGATGAAGATAATAGGGACGTAAGAATATCACACATGCCAGTTTAATTCAGCTACTTATTCCCTTTGCTGCATATAGTTTCCTGAAAATGATCAAACTCTGGTAGAAGTTATACTTGCCTTTTCAGATGTAGATAGTATGATCCACCTGTAAAGTGACTGCAAAGAAAAAAAAGTTCTTTCTATTATCAGACTGACAACTTTACATTGTGTTTTGAACTAGGCAAATATTAGTATTATAAAATCAGTACTTAAATAGGATTATAGAATTATCATATATGGATATCTTTAGTGTAGATATCTGAAGTGTTAGAAATCATGTCTTGAGTTCAAGTTGTCTTGTTTTTTCAGAATTAAACACTTGATCCTTGAAACAAATTTCATCTCAGAGATCAAAATGACATTACTGAAGAGTTTGTCTATTTGTCTTAGTATTTGGTAACACCAGTCTGGATTCGTACTTAATGATGCTTTGGATTTTTTGTTCTGTATCTTCCAAGTACTTGCAAGGTGGTTTGCTTAGTATGTGAGAGAGCTGCCTGTTAGGTATTATCCTTTACTCCTCCCAGTCTTGTGATAACCTTTAAAAAGCCTGATTTTGGCATTGTTTGCTGCCAGGCTTCTGCTCAGGTCAAGTATCCATTAAAACCCAACAGCTCCTCCTTCCCCCTAAGACTCAGTAAATTCACTGCTGAATCCTAATCCATAACCATTAGCTCTGATTTTTATAAGAACAGTGAAGAGACTCCTAATATCTTTTACTTCTTGCCAGCTACCTGCTCTTTGGATAGGTTTCTTATGGTGTGGAAGCTGAAGACACGATGCAGAGCTTACAGATTTGTGGGCCATGTGGAAGCAGTGACCAGTGTAGAGTTCTCACCAGATGGGCAGCTACTGGCTTCATCTTCTCAAGATCGTACTGTCAGACTATGGGTTCCTTGCATGTGAGTATAACCAGGCATTGTTATGGTATGTGTTTCATTGAAGTGCAATGTGAATACTGGAGTCTGCTCAAGAGAAGTTTCTTTTTCCTTCCCACATGCCTGGGCTTTGACAGAAACAGAGATCAGGGAGCACAAATAGCACAGTTCTTTACTGTGTTACTTTGTTCTTTACTGAATATGCTGTAGTTTCAAAAGAAAAATGTAGCAATTCAAAGGTCACAATTTCATGTGTGTAGGACTATGCTTGGTAGTATTTGTCTGGATTAAAGATTATATTTTAGTAAGGATTGCATGGCTGCACTTCATTTTGGGGAGAGAAGTGATGAAAGAAGCAAAATGGCTTTTTGGAAAAAAACCCATTTTTAATCTACTTGCCTTATTACACTGTTCTTAAGTAGTAGTGATTATGAGCAATTCGAAATCATCTTAGAAAAATGGATGTTACTTTAACTTTTAAGCATTTTGTAGATTTCTGTATAAAAAATTCTCTTTTAAATATTAATGCTAATGGTACTAAAGGTTAATGCTTCTCGTTATTTGTACAGTTCTCTAAAATTGTGTCATATTAAATGCAATTAAAAGAATGTTATTCTAATAATTAATATTGGAATAAGTAAAAAATAATGGTGACACTAAGATTTAGCCTCTATATGCTGCTTTTTCATTTGGGTGAGATTCTAAATATGTTAACATTGAGTTTTTGGGGTTTTAAACTCTTTAATATAGTTGTGATTCATGACTTGGTGTTTGGGGTTTTGTTTCTTTTCCTCCCTACCCTCTTAGTCATGGAGAATCATCAGTATTGAAAGGTCATACAGCATCTGTTCGTAGTGTGAGCTTCTCCCATGATGGCTGCTCTCTAGTTTCAGCATCCAATGATAAATCAATAAAAATATGGAGTGTTTGCAGTCAGCGCCTTTTGTTTACCCTGTTCCAACACACTCATTGGGTTCTCTGTGCCAAGTAAGTGTTATTTTTATTCTCTTGGTAAAGTAGAAGAACTCCTAACAAGGTGTTTTTATGTCCCAAGGTAGAACTAAGGGAAGAAAAATCTGTGAAAGACAAATGATTATCTATCAGTAATAATTAAATTTTAATCAAGCAATCTTATTTACACAAGTTTTGTATATATCTCCTAGTTGAAGTATGAAAGCTTGCTCTGTGTTAATGTGTACATATTAAATCTGTTGCTGTATATTAATTCTTTTACTTTAAAGGACCAACACGGTCTTCTGTATCCTGTCTTTCCCCAGTCGTGTTTGTTTTCATGCTGTATTAACTTATTTCACAGCATTCACTTGTTTTTAGATTTATTATGCGTGGTAAGGGTTTTCTCAACTATTCTTGTTCTTTGCTGGTTTTCCTTTTCCTTTTTGCCATATTGATGGGCAATTTACAGCTAAGAGATACCTGATTTAAACCTCTTGAGAAAAAAACTTAACCATGGTGAAGTGCAGAGCCCTACAAAGTTTCAAAGTATCCGATTGTTGAAAAGAAAAAGCAAAGCTCTAGGAAATCGCATGTGGAAGTTCTTGAACAGTTTTCTAATTTCCTTGTGCAGTTGCTCAAGATGTGAAAAAATAATGCTTGAGGAAATTCTACACAAATCAGTTTTACTATTTAAAAAACCTAGTCTACTAGTCTGGGAGTAATTGTGAATGCTTTGCTAACAATTTGTAAGTCTAGGGGGAACTCAGAGGAGAACATATATGTAGGTTAAAATGGAACACAAGGTTCTACTGTGTCCTCTTTGTCTTTTGCCTATAGTTTTCTATAGTAATATCCTCGGCATCTAAAGTGACATCCTTAGGCTGCTGCTACCTTCCTCCCTTACCCCTCTCTTTCTCTTGTTTATGGCTCTGTTTTTAATTGTAGTTGATTGTGAAATGAAGGGGGGAAGAGTGAGGGGAGAAGCTTTCCAGTTTTATTACTCCCTGAGAAATATGAGACATTCAAATGTCCTTTAAATGTTACACATCTTTATTTCAAATGGGCTTTCTTGGCTCTGGTATTTTGAGACTTATGTCTCTAATGCTCATCTAGGTAGTATCAGCTGTTTAATAATGTATTCACTTGCATGTTCCAGATTTTCACCTGACGGAAGAATAATAGCATCTTGCAGTGAGGATAAATCTGTTAAGATCTGGGATACAAGAAATAAAACTTGTATTAATAGCTTCTCAGATTATGAAGGGTAAGTGTTACTAGAAAAAAAGGAGGAATGTAAATTTGTCATTTTAATGAGATTAAATGCATCTTCTGTGATATTAACATCTGTATATGTTAAATCTGAAAATAGATCAAACTTCTACCATCCACGTGAAGTAAAATAATTCATATAGAGTTCTTCTGAAGAGGTTAACTGGCTGCACTTATCCAGCTGTTTTCCAGCAATCAAGAAATAGTCCGGGCAGAAGTGGGGTTATTCTTGGATTTTTGGAATGTTTTCATGTTTTCCCTCCATTTTAATAATGCTTTTTGATATTGGATGCTTCAACAAGAAGAACAGTTGGAGAATTTTCCATTTGTTGATGAAAAAAATAGTCTGTTAGCTTCAGTGGTCTGCCTTTCTTTAAATATAAAAAATACTTGCTTTTACTTACATGCCGTTTTCTTAAACATCTTGGAAACAGAGCTTTAATTAACAAGTCAGTGGAATATATATCTTGTATATGTGCTTTGCTGGTTTCATGGCTGCCTTCATCCTTTTTACTAATTTAAAATATTGTTATAGCTAGATATTCAGGTTTTAGACATAATTATTTTACTTGTTGCTTACAAACTCTTTGCAGCACTATCTTCTAGGGACTTTATACTCCAGCACAAACTCTGAAGCCACATTATACAGTCTGATTTATCAAGCACATCTTGTTTTCTTATGCTTATTTCAGTTACTTGAAATGCCTTGAGTTTCCATACATGTGGATTTCACACAAGTTTTTGGCGACTTAATGTTAATATTGTGGGTTTTATATATATATATATATATACATGCCTAAATATTTCTATGGAAACACATAATCAATCTGTTTTCATTAATTATATTTAGATTTGTAAATTTTGTGGATTTCAACCCAAGTGGAACGTGTATAGTTTCTGCAGGTTCCAATCATACAGTGAAACTGTGGGATATTCGAATAAACAAGCTACTGCAGCATTTCAAAGGTAAAAGCAATGTAGTTAAGTTTCATTTTCTTTACAAGGGAGCTCTTTGCAATGAAATGTGATTTATTAAGAGTATATTATTTCATTCCTTACTGGGAAAAGTGGACAAACAAGTCATATTGGCATATTGTAAGTATCTTCTTGTAGTCTCACAACCCTAAAAATCCAATCTGAATCCTTTTTATTTCTTTGCATCTCTTAATTTTTCGAACAGAACTAAGCAAATACTTTGGAGAGTCTGCTATGCCCCAGCACTTTGGTTGTTTTTCCCTTAAATGAAGAGGGCTGTTCTTCGGGAAGTAGAAAAGAGCAAAGAAATAAAGTGTACATTTCTTCTTCTTACTAGATATCTACAGCCTTTGAATATTGTCTTCTGTAAATTAGTTCACAGAGCAGGGGTTAACTGTGTATCATTCCATCCTTCTGGTAACTACCTCATCACTGCTTCTACTGATGGTACCCTTAAGATTCTGGACCTCTTAGAAGAAAGACTTATTTACACTCTCCATGGACACAAGGTATACACAATAATCCCCTTTAAGTGGAGATCTTAACAGGTTGTTCAGTATCTTTTCAAAGAGAAAGTAACGTTTATGCTGTTGTGTCTGGTATCTTACAACTTGTGGATGAACTTTAGTGGACAGCAAGTTGTTGTATTAATGCACCTTATTACAAGTGGTTAAGGATATGCATCGGTTTTACCTGTGGCCATGCTTTTTATCTGTCAAGGTTACATGCTTAATGTTAAGTAATAGCTCATGTTCTGAATTAATTAAAAATCCACTCTTGATTTTCATAATCATGTTATTTGGCACTTAGTCTTTTTGCCTGTTGAAAAACAGTGCTTTCTAAGGAGGGAGAAGCTTACAGAAGACAACTTTGGTGAAGGATGTCAGGCATTTCCTCCCTTTCCTCTTATGCAAAACAAACCGTATTTTTGATAATGAATCAAACACATAGCCTTGAGTAATATAATATATATTTTGTAATTTTTTGTTGCAGAGTTGAAGTATAAAATCTAATGAAAATGCCACTATTTTCCTAGTATTGATTATAGTAATTGTAATGCAGCATCTAACTAAAAAGTGCAATATTAACTCTTCAATGAAATTGTTTGGCAAAAATTTCACTTCAGTAAAATTGTTCCTTATTTTATTAAAATTGAAAAGTATGTTATAGTAGGTAATGGCATCAATGTTTTTCTCTTTGCATTAAAGTACCATGATTACAGTAATAATGTATTTTTACTGTATGCTTTTTTTTTTTCCCCAGGGACCTGTACTTTCTGTGGCTTTTTCAAAAGGTGGTGAAAAATTTGCCTCAGGTGGAGCAGATGCTCAGGTTTGTGATATTGTCTCTGAACTGAATATCTTAATGTTTGTTGCAGTGGATGGCAGTTATATATGGTATGTCACAGTAACGTGCTAATTACAGTGTACTCACATGCATTCTGTCTACTAGTGTGTTATATAGACTTTCCACTGGATGTTATGATGAGGAGCAGACCACAATATTGGCCACTTCTATTTTGAATATTAAAATAAAGGAATGATTTTTAAATAAAAATACTTTAAGTGTTGCAATTCAGTGTCAACAAAGTAGTTTTGTTGCAGTTAGTATTAAGGCCTAGCTGCTCTGTTAGGTTTTGGGTTCTTTTAAAGTCCGTACTCTGTAATTGTAAGAATTAAGTTGTATTACTGGGAAAACTTTGGCTAGAACTGGGGAAAAATAGTCCTGTGTTAGCTTTGCTAATTTGCTTCAGTGAAACAGTGAAGTAATGGATTTTACATAGGGAAGAGTTGTTTGAGCATTTAAAATAAAAAAGATAAATTAAACAACAAGTCAGATAATGAATCTTCATCTCCTGTGATGAATCTCACAATTAAAAAAATATTATCAAGATTGGAATCATCTCTATCAGGTCTTTACATTTTCCAAATGAAAGAACTTTTGTAGCACTAGGCTTAAATTTTCAGTGTGAAATGTTCCCTAATATTAGTTGTCTTTTCCATTGTTTCCTGTTACAAAAAGCTAAAAGCTCAATGTAGATACAGAAAGCCATGATGTAGAAATTAAGAACTTTTGAATTTACCATGATTCATGCTTATATTCTGTTTCGCGGAGTTTGAAATAAATTTCAGCTATTGAAATAATAAATATTTTCAATTAAAAACTTCCGTAACATTAGAAGAAATGCAGTCTGTTTCTTGTTTTTACTTATTGCTTCCAGTAGCACACTTTTCTGGAATGACTTGAAAGAACTCAAAGAAAAAGAAAAAAAAATTTGCTTTCTGTCACAAGGTGTTTATTAAGAAGCACAGCCAATATTTGCAGTTACTGGAAAAGTGAAAATGTTGTCAAACTTCCAACAGTAATTTTACAAGTGGAAAAAAAACCCAAACAAAACAGAAAACCCCAAACAGCTAAAAACTGCCCAAACAACCAAAAAAAAACCAAACCCCAAGAACCGGGGAAAGAGATTTATTTCTTCACTCACTAATAGAATCTTTTCTTTTCTATACTAAAGTTTTTAATAAGATTTTTTTTTAAATTACAAGATGCAGCTTAGATTCCCAAGTAATTTCAAATTGTTGACCTTACCTTTCGTGAGTACTTCATCTGAGTTTTATGATGATTTGTATATTTTACTTAACTTGAGAGGAAACAAAGTGCATGTATTAAACTCGGTCACATAACTGAAGAGTTACCTGGAAGCTCTGATCATGGAAAGGACCTATTGCATTAAGCCTGACACAGCCTCCCAGTTGAATGCCAGCATGCCCTGGGAATGCCTGTCTTATTTCAAACTTCCTTTGAATTTGGGGCACCCTGAATGAACAGGCATGTTCAGTGCAGTCATGTCATTGCCTTTCTCCTGCCCTGGTTCCATGCTGTAGAGCTGGTGGTGCACAGAATCATGGAGAGAGTAGGTAAAAATTTATAAGATGGCTCATGTTTCTCAACAGTTTGATGTAGTGGTTTCATGCTGAATGCAAGAGAAGGAAGATCCAGTTTCATCAAGAAGCACTTTCGTAGTTAAATGTTGAATTAAAAAAGTAGTCTTAGTAGTCTGATAATGAATCCTGGGTTTAGTTACCTTAAAAAGAGGCGTTCCTGCATTTGTTGAAGTTTTTCCCTTTGTTTTATGCAAGGTTTGGTGGGAGAGGGCTACTTATTTTGGTGTAGTTTTTACTTTTCTAAGTTTAAAATGTTCATTGCTAACCACTGTTAGGTAACTACCAGTGTATATATCTTTATCTGTAGTAAACATAAGAACTTTATTCTTTGGTGTTCATTTTCTGTTGGTGTATATGCACATGTATTCCACAAACATCCTATTTTACTGATCTGTCCACAACCCTTTTCCAGGTCTGCCAGGAGAATAGTTGTGGGACTTCTTGACTCACTCTGTTGGTTTACTGTAAATATAGGATGTGTTATGGTTTGGTTTCCTGGAATATCTATAAGACTGAATGCATAGAACATCTTTGGACTACCTCTCCATTCTGTGACCTCACTTCTGCATTCGGCCATTGTGTGACTGTTGTATATTGTTTCTACCTAGAGTATAATTGGACAAGGTTCAGAAAACAGATTCCTGATGCTAAAACACTGGAACCAGGTGTTTTAGTGCTCTGTGGAACTCTGTCATTTCTCTTATGCCCTCAGACTTTCTTATTAGACCTGCAAGCCTTTATATGGGGCAGAAACTTAACAGTGTATGACCACTTGATTTGTCAGAAAAATAACTTGGTCCAGTGGGACAGAAGTTTCCTTTGTTTTATGATTATGGACATATTTTAGAATTGTTTGTTTTTTTTTTTAATAGACTGAACCACATCTTTTAGACTTGAAGTACAAGATACTCTGGGGAAGTGCCCGTGTTGTAGGGATCAGACTAAGTGATCGCTGCAGGCTTATTCTGATGTAGTGCTCTATTAGTAATAACAGACTTCACTCAATAGTTATGTTTTGAGCACTGAATAGGCTTCTAGTAGTTACTGATATGATGGCTTCTTACAGGTATTACTATGGAAAACCAACTTTGATTCTTTTGATTATAAAGAAGTTCTTAAACACAATTTTAGAAGAACACATATTGATGAACCTCCTCATCTTCTTGATATTTACCCGAGATCACCTCATCTCCATGATGAAAAACTTCAGTCAGTTGAGGTGAGTGCAATAAGTTATCTAATATAGGAAGCCAGAAGCTTTTGTACAGACTGTCTGGCATTTATAGTTAAATGTGTTTTATGTATACCAGAGAGCTTTTTATTGTTATGTATAATACTTTGGGAGCAACCATAATTTATGAATCCACATTAAGTTTACTAGACTAGCTGATGCTGTCAGATTTATGCTGAAATTCCTTTCATGCTTCTAATATAAGTCTGTACATCTGATTTAGAAAAAACATAGATGATGATCTGGTTTGTGAAGTAACTTGGCAAGTGTTGCAGAAGGTATCTAAATCTGCATTGAACTTTGGAATACTAATCAAAATATATCATTATAAGCAGGACAAAGTGACATTATTGCTGAAAGTCAGATATTTGATTGTAACAAGTTGTTCCTCTTTCCAAGACCATTAGGTATCATGAGAAGATCTTGATATCTATCTAAAAGTTTAGAAAGACTTTATAGGTTAGTAGTGTGTTTTATGTCACTATGTAGTCTGACTTCATGATAACTTCATTCTTGAACTACATTACTGTCAAAGCATCTACTGGCATCCCTTGGAAGTACTGGAAATTTGGGAACCAAAGTGAAATATCAAATATTCTGTTTCATTATCTGGAAAAATCCTGTTTGTCACATTGTCTAAAAGCAGATTGGTAAAAAGTACTATACCTTCAATGAGGCCATTGTTTATGCTATACTTGTGACTGTCCTTAATAGAGCTGACTAGCTTCTGCATGGTGATTACCTGTACTTTTATCTCTTTTTTGATTTTGTCCGGGTGCCTCTAGTGTGGAAGAAGTGTCTCACAGATAAATCTTGAGACTTTTTGGTTGCTGTCATATACTATCATAGGACTAGAGAAATTCACCATTACCTGGTTGTGTTCATATAAAATGTAGATGCTGCTGCCATGGCATTTGTTTCTTGCTCAGAGTTTTAAAACATTGACATTTGGGGATACTGAGCTTTTTTTTTTGGTGGGCGGGTACGTATGCAATATAAATATATGCAATATGAATAGTATAAAGGTGGCAAACACTTTGGTGGAGGAGGGGAACTCTGATAGAATTCATCACTGAGATTTCTCATGTGCCTGGTTCTATTGTCACGTTGGATGTGGAGCTTTCTAATGCTTAGCATTTTGGTCAGAACAAGAACAGGATGACTGCATGTATGACAAGCTTCATAAACAAGCTTCTGTGCTGGACTTTGATATTCATTGAAAGGTCAGTGGATGAAGTTAAGTTTGCTGGTACCAGCCTTCAGTATAGTTGGTCAGTGCCAGAACAAACTCTATCACAGCATTTGCCAGCAGATTTAAGCCACTCTTGCTGTATCAACAGTTTGCTTCAAGACCCATTCAAATTGCACCCAGTTATAACATGTGCTAAGTAAACAGTAGCTTATAGCTGCAGGGTTTGGTTGCTTTCAGTTCAGGTCAATGTTTCCAGACCTCTGCTGCTCAGATGCCTGGCAAAGATGTGAATGTACTCTAAAGCAATTTTTCAGGGTTTTTTTCCTATTCCTGATCCCAGGTAATTGAGAAGCTCTGAAAAAGCTTTGATGAGTTCAGACTTAAGTTAAACTAAGGCTAGGAAGCACCTCTTTGTCAATACTGAAAGAGCACATCAGGGAAATTTGATAGTTGAATGTCAAGAAATTATTTATCAGTTAGTTTTGACAGATTCACTTAACCTAATGTCTGCATTTATTCATAGGTGCTCCATAGTAGTGAAAGGGCTCTATGGCTTTGACATTTGTCATAGCAAAGTTTTGGGCTCTTTGTGGTTTATTTTCTGGCCTGATTTCAGGATTTTAGGAATGGGGTTGTTGTGTTTAGTTTTCTATTAACATCACTGTCAGTGATGTTAATGGAAAACATCACAGTCAGTAGAATATCTTTCTCTCAAATAAACATGAAGTATATTATATTCTTTGAGACAAAACAGTGTCTGATAGTTCCACAAAACTCATATTATTGTAATGTACTATATTTTTATATATGTAAATTAAATATTATAGTAGTAGTGATTAGGATCTCTCTTACAGCTAATTTTCAGAATTAATGTAATAATACAGTAATTTAGACAAAGTTAAGGTGAAGTTACTAAGTTCTGTTTCTCCGTATGTCTTTTCCTGTTATTTTAATTGCCTCTCCTGTCTACGAAGGGGATATTTGTTATGTTGAGGAAGAATAGAGCTTACCAACTGGACAGAAACATAATTTATCCGGACAAAACTAGCATCAGGTTACTACCAGCAGTAATATGCTTTAGTGGCACTAACTGTGCTTGAAATTTTTCGGTGTTCCATTGTCTTAAATATTTCCTCTTGTAAATGAGAAAAAGCATCATGTCTAGCCCCATCATGTCTAGCTGTACTCTGGATAAGAAAAAAAAATTGTCCTTCTTTGGTTAAAACTTGTTAGTTTTTTAATACCTCAACCTCTTTCTAAGGTTGAGGCAATAGACAGAATTTTGACATTAGGCAGTTCCACCACAGTATCACCCTCATCTTTCAGTGGCTCATCATGTGTCTCATATATAAGGGAAAGGAGGGATTGAATCACAGATGTGTCAGAGTGAGCTTTTGGAGGTCATCTGTTCTTCTTGTTAAATGTACATAAAGTCAGCTGTGTCTAGTTAGAAGGCCTTGAAGAAAGATGGAGATTCCCCAGTCTTTTTGGGTGATCTATTCCACTACAGTACAGCAATTGTAATGACACAGTTTTTCCTAGTATCTACACCTCAGATAATATGCAGAACTGTTTCCTTTCTCTTTATTTTCTTCCCTTCTCTTCATATTTCTGTGAATGGGGTAAGATAATCAGTCTTAACTAAATGGAAGTAAAGTTTTCTAAGAGACTTGGTAACATATGCAAGAATTACAGGCAGGCAGAAGAGGCAGTTCAGATATGGGATATTTAAAAGCATAGATGACCATTTAAGGTTTGCTACAAGACACTACAATGTTATCTAGACATTTGAGATGTGTTATAATGCATTGCCCTGAGTTATGCTTTGATGGTTTCTTTGGCTGGCATCAGAGACACAGTGCAGTGTTTTCTCACATCACCTGTTGGAAATGCTGTTTTGAATAAAGCAGCTTGCACAAGGGCGTTAAGAATTACGGGTATCACCTGGTGTCTTGCCTTTCAGGATAGTGACAGAAACGTGGAGCTAGTGTGTACTTTCACTTTTTCTCAAAACTTTTATTCACTCTTCCAAGCTATACATGGAACCATTAGTATTTGAGTCACCTTCCCTAGTTTTTTTTTGTTTGTTTTGTTTTGTTTTTTCTCTCTCTCTCTACATACCTGGGTTTTTTTGACACATAATTAACTTTTACAAGAACTCCTCCTCCTCAGACCAGCAGTAGCCTGAATTTTAATGAAGTGTTGAATTTCCTGTTCTTGACTTATAAATCTTTACAACTCTTCTCCAACTGCACTGATCAATGTGATTTCTTGAATATTTGAGTAAGTAGAGATTTAATGCTTATAATCATTACAATTATTCAGACTATTTGGAAATGTAAGTAAATTACTTGTTCTCTGAAGGCACCTACTTTTTTTTTCTGTTGACCACAGAGGTAATCTTGGGTGACCAGCTCAAATATAGATGTCCAGCAGTATGTCTAAATTTAGCTGAGATAAATCCCAGTCATTGTATCTCTTTGACATAAGGATCTTTTGGAGTTATTTGAAAACAGTATGTTTAAACAGTAATGCAGTTTTAGTGAAAAATACTAAAAAATGCATTCCACTAGGTGACAGTTCTATTTATGAATTTGTCATATTTGTACATAATTTACCTTTTATAATCTAGAGACCTCTTTAAAATAAATGGAAGGTAGAAAAAAAAGTTTCCTTTCAAAACATAGCTTTGAGATTTGAACAATATTAAGGTACACGGAGTTTATATCTTGAGCATAAATAGCTTCTGTTGATTTAGGTTTGTTTTTTTTATCTTAAAATCTTCAGTTAGAGCCTTCCCAAATCTTCGTTCGCAAAGCCTAGCCATGAAAAATCTTCAGTGTAATTTCAGTTGTAAATATTTTCCTAGATGAAGGAAATCCAAATATACACTAGGTGGCAGTAGAAAAAAGAATATATGGCTCGCTTGGCTTGAGGGCTCCAGTCTAGAACAAAAACGGTGTTTAATGAAACTGAATGCTAATTTTCTCTTGGTATGTTTGGAGAGACTATTTCACATCACTTTCCTAGGAAATACTTTGTGTGAGAACTTCCTCTTTTAATTTTATTGACTTCATTTTTCTAACGCATGGAAGGATTTACAGAAACCTTCCTTCAAATATATTTTCTTGTGCTATGGATCAAAATGCGATAATTGTATTATCATATTAAAAGATGATAATGAAAATACTTCTATATCAGTCTACCAAGTAATTAAAGCATTTAAATTTAAATTAAATTTAAATTGAAAACCTTTAATACATGACAGTTCTCCCTACCTTGCTTTTTAGTGTTCTGGTTTTTCTGTCTTGTTTCTTAAAGTTAAATCTTTCCAAATATGTTTGGTAGGGTCATTTTACAGCTAACTACATCACCTTGTTAGGAAATGTCAAGTCATTTGAAACTTTCACGTTTAGAGTAATTCCATTATCTCATTAATTTTTAGTGCAATATTAAACACTAATATTTGTAAGAAGGGTTCATCTACAGCCTTCATGTTTTTGTGCTCATTTCTTTAGACACGTTTTAGATGCTCTGACTAGTTGCTTAATAGTTTTATATTTCATTTTTTCAAATATTGTTTATGATAGTTCCTGCACCCCTAGTCAGTGTTTACAGTGCTCCTCATCATCCCCTTATCTCTGATAAAGCAGTAAACAGAACTATATGAAGAGGAACTTTCATTCCAAGTCCAGGATATGACACACATAAAGACCACATTGAGTAATACCATATATTTATTTAGCAACCTGTATCAAGAAAAGCATTTAACTCATTCTACAATATCTTTCACATATATAAGAAGGAGATACCTCAAAGAGGATGTTTCAAGAGCTATTAGTAATAATACTACAGTAGCTCCTCCACATTAGAGTATTGATAAGTGGTAGGCACCTATTATCCCTCTTCTGCAGAACCCGGCAGATGCATTGTCCTCTCTTCAGCACCCAAATGATTCATACCAGAAAACTACTTTAGTCTTAGCTACTCATAGTAGGATTGATACTCTGATAATGCATTAATTATATTTATTGCAGGACTGACTGAATGTCAGAAGCAAATGACCCTGGGCACTGAATAAATGTAAGCTCTTTGGGACAGTTGCCTGTTTAATCTCAATAGGCATGTCACATATGGAGGGGAAAAAAGTAAAATTTCTGGTTCTTCTCTTCTTTGCTTTAGCACTGATAAAGTGGTAATCAATACCATATTCAGAGGAGACTATGTTTGATCATATTTCTGTTGAGAAGATGCTTTCATTCTCCTTTATCCCTTTCTTTCTTCCAAATCTATTTGAGAAAATTGGAAGAAAGCAGGACTTGATCCTAATATCTGTATATGAGGGAGAAGATCTTAGTATCTACAAATGAGGGAGAATTTTAAGTATGCAGCTTGTGATGGCCCTGTAGCAGTATGGGTTTTCTTGATTGTCCCTGAGTCCCTGCTCATTCTTGATTGATGCAAATATAATCTGAAGACAGAAAAAAAGAATTCATGAATGAAGAATGGCTTGTTGAAACTGAATGAAAGAAAAAGCTAGTCAGAAAAGTGAACAAGCTTAAAAACAGAATTAAGATCTCCCCTTAAGGAAGGCTTGTCATCTCTGATTTGTAAGTGCTGCAAAGCGTGAGAATCTCTCTCACCTTGAATAATCTGATAATATCTGTATTTAAATGTTTCTTTACCTTCTAGCTTGCTAGTAAACTTTGTCTTCTTCCTCCACTTACACTTACTGAGGAATATCTTGCTTCTATTAATTTTAAGCTAAATTTCTGCGTGTAACTTACAGAAATCCAAATGAACTGAATGAAAAGTCTTCAGGCACTACAAGATGTTATTGCCCTCCTTCCCTGGCTACTGATTCTGGATTTAAGATTGCATTCTAGCTACTTAACAAACATGTCTCTGACCTAAAGGTCTGTATGCCAACGTGTGGACCCTAGCATCAGGGATTCTAACTTGTGGAAATAGCGCTGAAGCAGTTACTGAGGGAGCAGCTCTGGCTGAGACAGAATTTTGACCATCTTCAGGTGAAATGTAGGATCTCCCTCTTGAAAAGGCAAAATAAAATGACCCTTGTATCTAAGAAACTTTCAGGGACTAAAATACAACCCTGTCACTAGGCCAGTGTGAGTTTTGAGGGGTTTGTTTATTTTTTTCCACTTTCAGTAGGTTGTTTGGAATTAATGCTCTTTCTGATAAGGCTGCTGTTGGATAGCTGATAAAAAGTTGAAAAGAAAAAAGTTCATTTGTCATTATTACATTAGGCTTCTTGACAATTTGAAAGTCATCTAGTCTTTCTGTGAAATTTGCCAGTTTATAAAATAATGAGAATAGTACTTCTATAAGTCATACTGTGAAGGCAAACATATTAGGCTGTGACACACCTAGATAATATAATGGTACGGAAAATATGCACAAATTTTTATAGGGAGGTTATTCTGATCCTTAGGTGAAACCGTAAGATAAATGAAAGCAGCAGCTTTCTCAAACTTTATATTATCTGATATTTTGTCAATGCTTCACTTTCAGGAAAGGACATTAGGAAAATATTGCTAAAGCTACAGAGTAAGTCCTATAACCAACAATAAGCAAGTAGTCCAACTGTGATATTAAAAGCAAAATTGCAGATGTTGTGATGAGATGTCTGATCAATCAGCCTCTGACATTGTCTCAGTATAAAGCAGTTTTTCCTGTATTTTCCGTAAGAGTGTGATTTGTATTTGGGTAGTTAACTTATCAGAGATTTCAGTGTGATCTCCTACCTGGTTTCCATGACAGTGTTTTTCAAGTTATTTTGGCAATCAAAGTTGGGACACAACAAGTAAGCATGTCAGCAGTCCGTTTGTTGTAGGTGACTTGAGGAACCTGAATGTGAGAACTGACTGACCTGGATTGTTAACTGTGTGCTCACTTTTTATTTCATTCTTATTTCCCTTTCTCTGCTGATGCTGAAATAATAGCATAATTCATTTTCAACAGGTTGACCCTACATATGATGTAACTGATATGCAAACACCTGATCCACCTGTCATAGAGATTAGAACCTCTTCATCTTTCAGTACTCTGGTAAGTTGCTTTAAAAAAAAAGATATGGTATAGCTGTTATCAGAAATGTACTCTTTCTGTCCATATGAATAAAATACTTCTTTTAACAATTGTTGAGTGCTCAGAGCTCAGTATCCCAAAGTCTCAACTTAAGCTTTCTGTCACAGTTCCCAAGCCTAACCAGAAGATGGTGTAATAGCAAAGCTTTCGTGTTATACTGTAATTTTACCCCATATAGACAGAAATTCTATTTATAAGCCCATGCTAATTACATCTAAATATTACTGTTAAAATTTGTGGTTTATTCTCAAACACTTTTTGTAACTCTGTTTTTATCTGCAAATAACGGGAAATCTAAAGAATAACTGTCTCACTGATACAATTCCAGAAGTGCTGCTTTAATTTTTTTCCTTTTAAGGCATTTAATAGTTCTCTAGGAGGAAAAAAAGTAAGACATTTTAAGACAGAATGACACGATTAGAGCCTTCTAATGTTAGCTGTACGTATGACATTGGTATGGCACGTGGGAGGAAAGGAAGGCAATGTTTTAGTGGTGGTTTTGTAGGAGGACAAATATGCTCTCCTGGTATGAAATCTAAAAGACATGCTGTTCTAGAATTAGGTTGAAATGAGAATTTTTCTTTTAGCTCTGAATCTGGACCCGTGAAGGTATAAACTGTATCTTAAGCAATTTTAGTTGCCATAAAAAGAGTTTGTGTGGTTGAAGGGTTAATACGTATGAATAGGCAGCAGGTGTGGTTTCTGCTGTTCTGTTTTGTCATGAATGCTTTGTGAAAGATATATTGTGAAGGTACTATATGAAATTCTTTAAGTTCATGATACAGAAGTTGATGACAAACCTTTACTTCAAAACAAATAATCATATAATAATTTATATTTGAGAAGTGATAATTTAATATATTTTAATTAGCATTTGTTTTGTTGTGTTTTCACAATGGGCATGAGGTTCTTTAAGATAATGTATGTCAAAAGTAATTTGTAGACTTTCAGACATCTAGTAGGCTTGACTGGTAGTGGATTGTGGTGCATATAATTTATTGACTACCTATCACTTTTAAATACTCTGTTCATTACTTACTGCGCATCACAGAATTCAAATGTATAGTTATACTGTAATTCTTTATTACATAAATATAAAATCCGTCAATTACTTAGTCTCCATTAATTCTTTTAATATGAAAGCAATTTACAAAACTTTGCCCAGATCTCATTGTAGGAATATGTTGACCAAATAGATACATTGTTTTGACTGCTGTCTATCTGGCTTTACAATCTTCATTATAAAAATGTTGCTTCTAAATGCATGCCTTTTGACCGTGTCAATAATCATTACCTTTTTTTTTCCCAATATCTTAATCTACTGTTCATCACTGATTCTCACCTTTCTTCATTTCAACATCACCATCTGCATCTTTTTCCATCTAGAAATATTTCTGTATCTTTGTTACATGGACTGCAGCCTTAAAGACAACTGTCCTGTTCCACACCACTATTGACACAAATTCAGGAATCATTTGCATGTTTTCCTTGCCACTAGTATCCTTCCTCTCCCATAGTCATTAACACTTTCTCCAACTTTGCCAGCCTACCTGGTCCTCCCTGCTTTCTAATGCCAACTCATCTTTTAGTGTCATCTTTCTGTCCAGTGTCTGTCTGCTGCATTACCAGTGTCTGCTGTTTGTGGAATAATCACCTGTTTCTTAATCAGACCAGCCATCTAGACCTCTGTGTCTTGTTTCTAAAGGGTTCTGGATCTCAGTGACTTGGACCTTTTCATCTGAAGCTAGTTCAATTTTCCTAATGTATGGAAGGCCCCATCTATAGAGGCTTGATGTGTTCTTCATAAGAAACAAGGGGGAAGGACAGATGCTGGATTTCGTCCAATCACACCTTCACTGCCAGATTTCCTCTTGATACAGTTTGTCCTCACTTGAATGATATTGCTTTTATGCATTATTTGTGTATTTTTTTAATCCTTCTCTAACTTGAGGTTGCCAGATGGTAGTCTAATTCACCATCTTCCCTAATTCATGCCTCTCTCTGATTCCAACCCCAGTGGGTTGCTCTTTTTCTACTGATTATCAAAGGCAATCATTCTGCAGGTCTTTTTTTTTCCCAGCAAACATGCCAAGACCCATTTTAAAGTTGTTTATGGCTTTTTGGTCCTACTTCTACTAAAAGAACACTGTTCAAATGACTAAAAGCCTTTGATCAGGTTGACAGGTTAATTTATAAATGTTCTGTCTATACCTACTTATTCTTTTTGAAGTGTTTTGCTCTAGCTTAAGGAGTTCTTCTGCCCTTCTAATATTTGCAGTGAGAAAAATGCACTCTGCACTTAGATATCTTTAGGGGTTCTTGTTCAATGTATTTATCATGCATGTAATGCAGCAGGGTCTTAAAAATACATTGGCAAGTCTCTAGACCACTGGAAATAGCTAATCAACATATTTAATTTTTCTACTGAAGAAGAGAGAGACAGCCTTTATTAGATCATAGTCTCGAAGTATTTAAAGACTCCCAGTTTCTCTGGAATAAGTAACAACACTGAAGCTTTTGTAGGTTCTTTGTTGAGCTCCCTGAGATGTCTTCAGGAAGATTGGAAGCCTATGCAAAACCTTGCAGTGTTTCATTGAATAGCTATCAAAATTTCTGCCAGTAAGCGGGCAAATGTCCATACGTCTAGATCTAGTCTCAATCCAGGAAATAAGAGAAAGTACTCTTCTTACTGAGAATCTTTTCTTCAGCTGGAATTATGTTCTGTCCTACTGCTTTATGGGAAATATGCTATTACTGCTCCTAAGATGACTTGTGACAGAGCAAAAAGGTATTACTTTTCTTCCCTTCAGTAAAGATTTGTTAATGAAAATGATAGAGTAGTATAGATTGAGAGGGATGCCTGGAGTCCTTTCATCTAACCTTTCCCTTGAAGCAAGGCCAACTTGGATCAAGTTCTTAAAAGCCTTGTCCAGTTCATATGTTAATAATGTGCAAGAATGGAGATTCCACCATCTTTCTGAGCAGCTTGCTCTAGTGTTTGATTGATGACAATATTTTTTTTTCATAATATGTAGCTAGAATATCCTATTTTCCAATATGTCTGTTACCTGTAATTCACAGTGGTCCTCTAATAAGTATCTATATCTGTCTTCTTTCTATCCACCCATTAGATATTTGGGATGGCAGCAAGATCTCCATGTATCCTTTCTTCCTTGAGGCTGAACAAACCTGGTTATCTGCCTCTGCTTGTATATCATGTGTTCCAACCCCTTCACCATCTTGTTCACCCTCCACTGGACTTGCTCCAGGATGACAACGTCTATCTGGGATGAAGAAGACCAAAACAGGACACACAACTCCATACATTTAAGGTGCAGTGAAGTATCACTGTCATCTATTCTTTACAATAGTCTGCCTGGAGAAGACTTGTAAAACAAGTATTTAAAAATTTAACACTCTTGATTCTTTATTATGAATTTAAAATATATGTTTAGATATTTTCTTAGCAGTCCATTTATATTTTTGAGCTGTAACTGTATGAAAAAATTACTGGTATTATCTCTTCCTCCCACTCCTCCTCCTCTTTTTAAGGAATTTTAATTTCTTGCTTCATCAAAACCAACAATTCATCACAGCTTCCCCACTTGAAATGCCTGCTTACATGTTTTTTTTAAATATAGTTGTATTTTCTTGCTTCAAAGATTAAGCTAAGATATGCAGATACGAATGTTCTCGTAGAGATTTTGCTAGAAAACAATTAAATCATTGAACTACCTGAATTGTAAACAACTTATCTTTTCAGCTTGTGTTCTAGCTTAGTTCTAAGGCCAAATCTTTCTGAACATGATGAAAAAACCTTTTTTCATCTCAGATTTACACTGATGCAAATGCCTTTTTAAACTTAGTGAAGGGAATGTGGTCATTGTGTCAGTGGAAAAAAACTTCAATGTGATCTTCATATGGAGTTGCTTTCTTTTGGGCTACAATTACACAAGCATTAAGAACCTCCTGTATATTATTATGGTTAGGAAATAGCTTTGAATTTGATGATTCATTTATTCACTTCTCCTGTGTATTCCTGAAACCAGCGTAAAAATGAGCCATGGATGCTTAGGTAACTAGTATTTGTGCAATGCCCTGACTTCTCCTATGGTAAGACTCTTAATATGTTGCAGTTACTAGAAATCATGCGTATTCTAGCCTTTTGCACTCTGAAAATGTTCACTGAATTGGAGTCAAGGTTTGGGGTCTGGGGGTGGTGTTTCTTTCTCCTTTCTGTTTCATTGAAGACTGGAAGCATTACTGCCTCTCTCTCACCCCTTCTTCTTTGTGTTTCAAGCAACTTAAGCTTAATTTTGGAACTATTAAAAAGGAAAAATTGGAAGTTTTGTTTCCCTTTGGGACTGTTTTGTCCCGTTTCATCCTCCAGTTTTAGTTTTAGTCTTGATGGAGCTTGGGTTTTTTCAATTCTGTAAGGCAATACATTGGTAACCTCCAGTCCCTGATAAGCTGTTGGGAACAAGGGAAAGTTGATGGTGTCTGTAGTTTTTACTGACAGCAGCAGGAAATCACTGTAGAGGCTCTTTAATGTTCCATCCCCTGACCTTGCTCATGTAAACAGGATTTGGAGGAAGCAAAGCAATGTACTGTAATCTGGAAGTCAGAATGTCTGCGCTGGCTGGGAGATGTTTGCTGTTCTTTCTCTTCCAGTGCTATTTAACACTGAAAACATGACATACTTATTTTTTGTTTACAGTACAACTTCTACAAAGTTAAGACTGGATTAATTACTGAGTGAAGAAAGATAAGGATTGTTTCTGTTTGGATCAAAAAGAACATACTAAATTTTAGAATAAAAGGTTTATCTGTACTGTATTTGTAGTAGGTGTCTTGATGCAAAAAGTAGAAGTATCTGTACTCTCCATTTGTCCTGTACATGTTGCTTTTGCAGTTTGTATTTCAGGGTTTAGGGTTTTTTGACACACTGTTCTCTGTGTTTA